CTTCAACCCCCCCAAATTTCCATGTACCCCATTCACCTCAATTTAACAATGAATACACTGAGACCCTTAGCTAGTAGCTACCGCGTGGAAAAGGTTGGCCAGACTTCGGATTTAAATCCTCCTCAAACATGTCTTATCTTGGTCTTTGTAAGATTTTCATTCATGGAAGTCAGTTACTTAATCTGCAGAGAGGCAGATATGGACACCATGAGTGTATGTAACCTGGAGACTAATAGACAAAATGGCTTCTAGGGAGGAGTGGGGGGTGGGGGGTTGTTTTAATTTCTGTGTGGACGGTGACTTTTGTTGCTGGTGACTTCAATTGGAGATTATTGGAAAGATGAATTTTGTAAAGGGGAATAAGGTTGTAAGTTGGGAGAACAAGTGTTAGTTTGTGTGTTATTGGAGTAAAGGAGGGTTTTAAAAATGAGTCAGGGGGGGTGTTCTGATTTCTGTAACTCAGTGACCCAGGACAGTCCACACACTTCACAGCTACTGGGTAACTTCTGTGTGAGATTATGCAACCACCTTATCTAATTTGACTGGGTATTGATCACACTCAAGTGAAATACTATTCCTTTACGTTATATAGCTTATCACAGGGGGTGTAATGTGACGTGAGCGAAGACCTGAGTTACCAGCTGTCCCTGAGGCAGATAACACTCTGTACATGTAGGTATATATACTGCTCCATGTCCTCCAGGGAACTTACATATGAGCTAGTTTTGTTACATTTGGTGCTATCAAATTACCACATGTACTTTTGGTATATTTTCATTAACTTTTTTGCTACATGGAGAGCAATATTATGGCACTATGAGTCTAATTTTGGATGTTGTGGAGGTGATTTTTGACATACTATGCTATCTCTGCACTTTTGTAATGAAACTGATACAAGGCAACTTGTGGCCACATAGGGGTGGCAATCAATGGGTGGCAAGCACCTGTGGCAGCAGGATGGCAATAATCATTAGCTATAGCCTGCTACAGCAGGTGGCACAGTAGGTGGCACACTTATAGCGCCACCTATTGATGAACTCTCATACAGCAGGTAGCTTCCCATCCTCATTACCGATATTAATTCTTTTTTCAAAATATCCATGTAACCACGAGGGAAGGAAAAGCTAATTATGCCAACCCCATCCCTCATTACCTGATCACAAAACTCTACTGGCCATACCATATCTAGCTATACAAATACCCATCAATATAAAATTTTGTCAACAGGGTCATGACCTCATCATAAATGTTTAGAAGAAGCAATTAACTCTTTCATCCCTGAAGACACATTTGAACTCTTCCAATTCAAAGGTTTGAATAGTTCATTACGAAATTTCAGGGGTGAATGAGTTAATCCAGTCCCCACTTATCTGGACAAGAATGTCCTTAACATTCAGCATGTGTTTCAGGGGACATCATCTGGCCTTTTTCTATAAAAAGCATTCTCCAAGCAATCCAATCAAATTTTAACATGGCTGGATCATCAAAGTGCAACATTATAAAGATTTCTCGGAAACCATTCCCCGCAGATCTATAGACAAATCTGCAGGAAATGTATACCAAGATATTTTGTATTCAAAAAATATTGTGTTCGTAAATAAAAATTTCACATCAAGACAGTCGCCCCCATACTCTAATAATAAATATGTAGACTTACAGGGAACACACTTTACTAGAAATAGTGCTCACAACATAGCTTGTTTTGCTTACAACAAGAGAGATAAAATTGATTTTTGGTTAGATATCGGAGAAGGATGCTGTAGAAAGATCTCGTGTAAATAACACCAAGGAAGCCTTCTATGGAGTCCTGTGATCTCAAATCTCAAGTCCCTGTGTAGAATCACATGTTCAAATATTTGTCAACTTTCATCCTCTTATCAATTTTTCACAAAAACTTGTCCTCTGTAATATTCTCATATTCATGTATAGAATTCAGATGAGATTTTAAAAATCTGGAGAAATTCTTAATTCCAACTTAGATTAAAAGCTTAGTGTTTATAGAAATAAGATTGGACTATTTTTACAGTTAAAACTTACCTTCAATACAAATTGTGTTTGACATTTTTCAGGTAATTAAGAATAATATTGAAAAATGCACTGTTTAATCTTTTTATAATCTGACACTCTCAAACAAAGCAAGCTCTGGGTATTTTTTGAAGTGACTCTGAAAACTGACACCATTAAAAAACAAGTTTTTACATTTTGACAGTTTCTTAACAGTTCAACTACTGATATTAATGTATAATGACACTTTAAATGACTAATGCCATTTAAATCGTGTTAAATTTTCTGTATAAACATTTTAAGTTTGATGGTCTGTCAGTTACATTTATATCTGCGGAAGTGTGACCGAGTCATAAAGCATTTCTTTCTGTTTTGACATTTTCTCTAGCATGCTGGAGTCCTATTACCTGTTGAAACTCAAAAATCCAAAACAAGACAGCCGGAGATTTCAGACATGAATAATTTTCAGTTTTTTTCCCACGAAATGTGGGACGAGTTGACTCATTTCCCCATTTTTCACCCGTACCCTTTTCTGATTACATGGTCTGATTATGGGGCCTCATCTGTGAAAGTCATTACTGGTATCTGCCCCATGCAAGAAGGGGTTTTAGGATCTTGATAGGAACAGATGGAGGGACATATTATCAGACTTCTATGATCTGGCCCTCCCCCCCTACCTCCCTCTTCTCCTGGTGATGGAAGAGATACAACCATATCACTTATATAACCCCCCCAACAGAACACTTTACCAATAATCTACCCCAATCCTCTGGCTTTCCTTCTTAAGTATGATACTTCTTTTGACTAATAGACCACACAAACCCATATCTATCCTGAATATTGAAACTGGAAATTCAGTTTAAACAATATTTTTTGTAGTAATAATTTGTTCATGATAGAGTGAATTAAAATATTGCGCAGAAGAATTAAAAAACGAGTGTATTGTATATCTTATGTTAATGTTTTCTCTGCAAACCCCTCCTCCCTCTGAAAAAATATCTATTTTTGTAAATTATTTATTCATGACACCAACAGATGAAGAATTTGAAAACAAGCTTACGGCTTCTTTGCGAAACCCCTCCATTTTCTGAAAACATTCAAACCATTTTGTTAATAATTTACTTATGATACAAAGAATTGAAAAAAAAAATAAAGAATTGAGATGAAAGCCAACTTCCTGACCCCTCCCCTACTTGACTGTAAGTTCTGTATCCTGTCCCCCATACATACTCTGTTCTCTCCAGTACTTGACTATATAGTACTATCCTGTCCTCCATACATACTCTGTTCTCTCCTGTACCTGACTATATAGTACTATCCTGTCCCCCATACACACTTTTAACTCTCCTGTACTTGACTATAGTATGCTACTGTAGCACCATTCCTCTATCCAATCCATCAGACCCCCACTGGGGGTTCTTACAAATGAGATAAACACCTAACTAATTTTGTGTGATTAATAAGGTGAACTCAATTCCCAGCTGGTAACCTCACCCNCCACTGGATGTCTGTATGGTGGTGGTAAAGGAGGGGGAGGGGTGGAGAAGGGGTAGGGGTATGGGGACCACTTATACTCAAGTCCATGTGTGTACTTGGGGGAAGGGGGGTATAGAAGGAGGAGGGGAAAGGGCACCACTTATGCCCCAGTAAATGTCTGTACATGTGTTCTGGCCATCACAGAACCAGGAAGTTGGTAGAGGGATAGGAAGTCACGATTACAGACAAGCTGCAACATTGGACCAGCCAAACACATCGTAATAGATGTCTGTTTTCTTTCTTCCAGGCATTTTTAATAGAAAATAACAGAACTGTTTACTGAAACAAATTTCTGGATTAATACAACAGCTTTTGAGATACAGGGTATAAGAACTGCCACAGTGCATTGTTTTATATTTGTCAGTCTGACAACCAACTTTGTGTAATTTACCAAAATCTTAAAGATACTTCACGTCACAGATTTCTGATATGTTTGGAACCAAGAATCAACTGATTTATATTTATAAACAGCTGGTAAATATTTTAGAAACAGCTCAGTAATTAAGTACTATAGAAAGAAACATATCACTGACAAAAATTCCTCGATTTCAATGTACAATTTTTTTCTTAAAGTTCCATTTTGAAGCCAGCTCGATCAGTATATTATTTTGTATCATAGAAGCCGGCTCAAAGCTGTTTCTGAGCCTGCCTATGTAAAAGCTATACACATCTATACTATATTTATTTGTGGCTGGGAATCAATTTTCTTTTATATTCCTGTGTTGTAGGTTCAGATGCTGACAGGACTGTAGCACACTGCCATGTGAGGAGTAAAATACCACGGCAGGATTAGTGAGGGAACCCACGCAGCCTTATTGCAAATTACACACACAACTTGTCTCAGATTAACCAGGGTATAAGGGGATGCCTGCACACTGCCACCAGCTTCTGTCCGGATCAATGGAGGCGGCTTGTGAACTACTACTACGGAGTGGCCAAGGAATATCAGATATTGGTGACATTATCGACGAATGACTCAACAAGAGTGGACACAGATCTAAATGTTCAACAATTAATGGCATGGCTCACGTTCTGTCGGGGACACGATACATTGTGATACATGACAGTCACCTTCGCCCAAATACATAGTGATAAAACTGGGTGCCTGACAGGAAGCAGGGACAATATACACACAGTAGCTGAGGAGCAGAGCAGACGGGCACTTCTCTGAATAGTGGAGCATGGGGTAACTATGGAGAGTTACGAGAAAATGTTTTGTGTTTTCGTGTTTGTAGTGTTTGCGATGTTCGTGCCTCGTGTCAACCTGATGCACATACCATGTGACGAGGTGTACGACATGGAGGACGGCTACTATTCGGCCAACTGTAGTAGCCGGGCACTAGGACATATACCCTTTGATCTCCATCATAACATTAAAGTATTAGACCTCCAAAATAACCAACTGTTGGAGCTGGTATCTAGCTCATTTGCAAAGTATGATACTCTCACGGAACTCTACTTGCAAAATAACTCTATTAGGATCATCAAAGCGAATGCCTTTTCTCTTCTTGGACAATTACAAGTTTTGGACTTGTCCAGCAATCAACTGACGTCAGTTCCAACCGCCGCCTTCGATGGATTAACGTCGCTAAGGAAACTTAGTCTTCGTGGAAATCGGATCAGCATGATACAGCCCGAGGCTTTCTCGCCTCTTGTTAACTTGAGGGATTTACTTCTGGACGGGAATTATTTGCAAAGAGTTGCTGATGAAGCATTCAAAAATTTGGATTATCTTGAAAATTTGGAATTACAACATAACAATTTGGAGTTTATGAACGAAAATGTTGTACAATATTTTACCCACAGGTTTACCTCATTTAAGTTATACAGTAATCCGTGGGTGTGTGATTGTAAAACACGTTGGCTCGAGGATTACCTTATTCATCAATCGACCAATCAGAGTGAAGATAACATCCTCCAGTGGATATTTCCGGAGGGTCAGCCTGTCTGTCAGGGTCCTACAGACCTTTGGTCACGTGCTTTCTCATCGTTGACGGAGACAGATTTCGTGTGTCAGATAACCATGTACACAAGTGGACAGGAAGTGGTACTGGAGGCCGGAGGTCAGACACAAATGTTGTGTAAGTACATGTCCAATCCACACGTGGATCCAGTGTGGACACGAAACGAGGAAATCCTTAACCCGGCAGATACAGAAAAATATGTCATCGTGACTGAGGGGTCAACCATTGTGACAAGTATTCTTACAGTTAAAGATTTCCAGAAAAAAAATATTGGTGAATATAAGTGCTCAGCAGAAAATGCCCGCGGGCCAGTGGCAATATCCTTTATGGTCACTCTTAACGGGATTGACCCAATAGCTTATACACTTCCTGTGTCAGAACTGACCAATCAGTCACCTGAAAATTCTCATACTGTCACTATCGCTTTGTCGGTGATAGGTGGATTTATATTCCTACTTTTAACGTCGGGATTAATAATTTTCGCAATTGTGAAGTGTCGTAGAAACCAGAGGAAAAAAAGTGAGCAACGCAGTATGAGATTTAAGGAACATCTGAAAACTAATGTTCTTAATCATTCAGAGATAATGGAGTGTAAAGACTATGAAAAGTCGGATATATCGATGGCAACAGAACTCCAAGAACGTGGTCCTTATGACCGTGAGCCTATTTATGATCCCCACCCACTATATGACCAGGTACCTGTGGGGTCAAATCTGGATCAAGCAGAAAATAATACTTATGTGTCGTTTAAGTCCGAGTACGTAGAACCGGATGAGATGACCCAGTTATATACTGGAGTTAATAGGACTAAAGGGAGTGACGGGTCGCAATGTGAGTCGACTTCACCCCTTCTGGACAACTGTTCCCCAATCATGTGTGACTCGCATGATCTGCTTTACGAAACAAGCACGGGGAGTTCTATTTATACCCCTGCATTCTTTCCTAAATCTCACACACTTAATTCACGCTATTTGCCGTCGATGAGTTCTTATGACACATATTTATCATTCACGCCCTACAGTACAATGTCACATTGTTCCCAACAGAATACCTCTACCCCACCCCTCAACCCCTCTGTACGTAGCAAAAGTGCTTCAGCCAATAACATTGGGCCTGTGATGCCCCCAAAGAAACCCCCGCGTGTGTTCAACTCCCGAGACAGCATGTCCTTGTCTATTACCAGCAGTAGTGGTAGTGAAACCATACCTAAACTTTCGCTCCCAAAACCGGGCACGGTGGATGAGTTCGGCACTGCCGTATGACCATGCAGGATGTGGGTGTGACACAAAGTGGGCGTCGGCTATTAGTGGGCGATGCCAAAGTGTTTCTCAGTGCTCTTGTTAATTTCTGTACCTATGTGTAACTTATGTATGTGGTTTGTTGTTCTGGAAATACATAAAATTCTATTTTTGTATTTGAGGTATTGATTGTTTAATTGTGAACAAAAGTTATATATATTGTTACCAGCCGAGAACAAGAGCTGGTATCTATATGGTACATAAATGTTTTATGATTTAACTATAGAATGCAACATCTCTAGGATCGAGTCTCATTGTGTTTAAACGTGAATGCTTATGCATAATTCATTAATTTTATCTGTTTACATAGTATTGAATGTCTGCGTAGAATGTACATCAAAAACTCTCTAAACGTTTTACATGAAGTATAACATGGTGTACTGTGAAGCGATGCCAACAACACTGCGTAACTGCAATACAAATCAATACAAGATCTCTGCACATTTACTGTTTAAACCTTCTATACTTAGAAACATGTAACAAGTGTACCAGTAAAAAAAAAAAAAAAAGATCAGCATCGATTATCAAGTGTTTGGATTTAAAATGATTATCATCAAACAGTGAGAATGAAAATTTAAAAAAAAATTTTTTTTTTTTTTTTTTTTTGATAAATAAAGTTATCTGGGTTCAGATTCAAATAACATTCCATTCCATTGCACCCAATTCAACTTAAAGCAAACCAGTTCCATTAAAAAAACACACCATTAGATTGATGAACCAATTACAACTTAAAGCAAACAAGTGCTGTATATTACCCAAAATTTCATCAAACGTCTATCCCTAATCACCCTAAAGCTGTATGTCCTGACTCCTAGAACTGTCAGGGAAGACACTGTCATCAAACCTTTACAGATTGGCAAATATTTGACTAATCAATAAGGCATTTTAACAAAAAGCTTTAAAGCCAATTGTCTGTATAAGTTTCCGATGATGGTATATGAATTATGAATAGCGCAGCACTCAGGGACGAGTTAAGTCAACCTAGAAGGTTTTGTAATTACATTTACGTGGACAGATGGGATCTCTGTTCCGACTATGGTTTCTCAAACTACATTGATTGTGCATCTTAATTAACTTCTAGAACAGAAGAATTCCTCCAGGCAGTTCTCATGGTATTCCAAAACAAATGAACGCACAAACAAGTCATACTCTTTGTTGTCGCAGAGATATAAAAACTTTTATTTATTATTTTCTAAGCTTATCTCATTATTTGCATAGAAAATTTGAATTGAAAATAACAAAAATAAATTGAAAACTTGATTGGAATGTTTGATTTTTTTTTTTCATTACTTTCTACGAGTGAAATAAATCAGAAAGAGATCATGGCTTAAAACAGCAGTTTATGCAATAAAAGTGCTTACACAAACACTTCCTTGATCAAGCAGTAAACCTCTTTTGCCACACACAAATATTATGGTTATTTTCTGCCAGTTTCTTCACAAATCTGATNCCCCCCATGCATTACAGCCCAATATCCAAAAGATATACAGGTCAAAGGTGAAAACACTATGATGATTGTCATCTCTTTAACAAATTAGATTATAAAAATATGTAGAAGAAATATACACAGGTAGTCAAGATGTGTATTTCGAAGGTCAAAGGTTTCGATTCCAAAGTGCTAACAGACATGTAATAGAGGGAGGATAGGGAAGATAGGAAGTACTGGTGGCGACCAGATGGCCAGTCTGAACCAGATGTCGGCCATTGTTTTCCTGTAGACATACCGGAGTAATAGTTAAGGTGCCAGCAACGTCAAGTCCACTTCCTTCTAACATAAACCTACGATTCCGCTCCATTCTCACATAAACATACCACTCCATACAACTCATTCCTCATATTATCATACAACTCTGCTCCCTTCTCACATAAACATACCACTCCATACAACTCATTCCTCATATTATCATACAAATCTGCTCCCTTCTCCCTAAAACAAACAATTCCATATAACTCCTCTTCCTCATTCAAAGACTGTGAAATTAGATATTTTCTTTGGGCCCAAATTGAAGGTTTCCCCAGAAAATACCATTTTGTTGGCACATGAGTTCATGGATTATGATGAGAACCCACTAAAATTCAGATTTTTTTTATATGGGACTTGTATTAACTTTGTGAACCTATGAATTAGTGGATGAAGATTACCCACAATATCAATGAAATTAAAACCCCCACGAAATTAGTGATTTCACATTATACAGCTTATATCACTCCAACTTCATATTGATACAGCTAAACCTGCTTATGGGACCACCTCTATAAAACGACCACTTGTGTTTAGAGACCACTTTTTATATTCTCCATTATAGTGATTTCATTGTAAAGTTACTCTGTGTTAAGAGACCACTTTTTATTTTCTCCATAATAGTGACTTCCAGAGGGTAGTCTCTAAACATAGTTTTGACTGTTTACAACTTTACACATCTCCGACTTACTCTACTCATCAGAACGAAAATTGTATGATGTAAACACAAACAATAAAGAATATTTTATAAGATTTGATAATGTTGATTAACATAGTCTAGTGTTAAATATTACCAGGCAGCAGGCTCTATCTATATCCTGAAATTTCAACCCAATTAAAGAATGACAGGTGCCCCCCCATAAGTGCGCCAAATTAACTGTAGTGGGGACCCATCCTAGTTAAACAGCTGTCTGTACCCAGAGCTGCAGAGGCTGGAAAGCTGAGGGAGACAGGAAGCTGGATCAATAACTCTCCACTCTGACTTGGGAGCACTGGGACCAGTCTAACAGATGGAATTCCTATACACAAATCCTACAGGAACTTCCTACACAGATTCCTATACACAATTCCTATACTACAGATTCTACATAGGACTTCTCCAAAAACCCATACACCCACACATTATGTCTCCAAATGTTATTGTTATATCTGTTGAATATTTTCCTGTATATTTCCCCGAAACTTCATTCAAAAAGCATATTAATTGATTCTGCATAAAATTTCACACGTACAATTACAGTTACCTGGTATGGCTTTGATAAATTCATGATTATTTCTGTAGGATGATTGATTGGCATCTATTAACAAAGTTTCCAATATAAACTGGTATACAGAATCATGATCATTATACTTGTCTTGAGCTGAACAATTAAACATTGATTATTATATGAATTTCTATCATTTACAGGATTTCAATTATTTTTGATTATTAAAATGTTTTCATGAACATTATGACAATATCCAAACACAAACATCTATAATGAATTGTACGGAATGAGTCGAGAGTGTACTGTAAACAGCATAGTTCATACTTCAGGCAGGTTGTGTATAGTATTGTGTTGTTACACATTTGTTTAGAAACATTAAGGATACATGCTATCTTACACATAAAACTTGTGATTTTATGTTAGAGTTATCTCCCTTGAAACATTTTTAACTCAGCATTATCTAAGTGTTTGTGATCATCTGAGTAATCAGTGCATACATAATTATGTACATTTCTAAACTTATTTTTGATTATTCAACAAAATTCAAGTAAACACTCTTAAAAGACATTTAACATGTTTCTAAGTGTAGAACTCTTTAATATAGGAGATACAATCACACTTAGTAGCGTGTATCCTTAGCCATCAATATATATCCAAGAGTTTTGCATCTAAAAATTCAATTTATCATGAAAATTGCTATCATGTATGAATTTGTTAAAAATTGATTGACTCGAAGTAAAGGGATTATAGCCGAATATCTTGATATAAATTTTTCATTTGGATGAGAATAAGAAAAACATGATCGTAGGAACATCTAGATCTCCCTCAAGGTACTATGTGATGCTGATTACTATAACAATTTTAGGAAACATTCCAGACTTATGTGTGTGACACAGCAGAAATGTTGTTTTGAACAATTATCTGAACTCATTCACCTCTGAAATTTCATAATGAACTATTCCAACTTTTGATTTGGAAGGGTTCAAATATGTCTTCAGGGGTGATTGAGTTAAAAATTAAAACTAATGAATTTACAATTAGCTCAGTTCCCAAAAAGCCAGGGGACAATTGTTTAAACCCTGATTAGGAAAAAAGTCAACAGTTTAAGCTTTAATTTCAATACATTAATTGTATTTTATAAAATATATAATTTATCACATTAGGCAGTTTTGTTTGCAGTTGTTTTTTTAAACCGATCAGGCTTTGAACGTCTGGGCTCCAATATCTGAAATATTAATATTTTGCCCTAATACTGTTGTTGATCTAACTTTATGGAATTTACCTGTATAGGTGTGCCTCATTCATGGAACACCAAGAGACAGCTATTGTACAAGTTAATTTTGCTTGAATAATTACATAGTTTAAATTTATATGTTGTCATTACTTTGCTGCAAATATTATAAGTTGTTTGTATGATGTGATGTAATTTACGTATAAATTGCTTTTAATTAATGCCTCGTTAAACTTGTTCATCCTAAAATTCAAATTTTATTGTGAACAAAAAAATCTATTGTCATTTTTATATGAAGCAAAAATTTTCAAGTGTCATTTTCAAATATCAATCAACATTTTTGAAACTGTAGTCATATAATTGGCAATCTAGAAATCGTCATTCACATATTTGTGCCAAATTTAAAGTTAAGATATTTTAATAAAATAATTACTGCAACTAAATAATTGCCCAATTTTCTTGAGAACACTGTGTTTTATGTGTGCAATATTTGGTTAGCCAATGACCTATTCTTTATTGTTGTTTGTTTATTTGTTATATTGGGATAGATTTTTACAATAGACGAAATGTAATAAAGGTTCTGCTGACGTTCGTAAGGCAATGAATCACAATATACAAAAGGGGGCACATTCATATGGTCACAAACTACAGAACACAATACATGATTTTGATATTGTGCTCCTACAAATATTGATAAAGGTTTTAATACGGTGTGGCGCCTTCTTTAATATTCCCCAATGACAGATGTTACATGTAGGCACAAACGTAATTTAACGAAATAAAATATTTCTATTTCAAATCAGACATTGATCACCCTGACCTAGTTAAACAGAATATAATACATATACTTTTAAGAGGATAAAGACTATCAACACATTCTATGACAATAACATCTAGACTAATACACATGTCTCTACAACTAGCCAGTTTAGACAGGAGATTTCTACAACAAAGGTGTTTTAGGGGGATATTTGCCATACATGTCTTTTGCAATTACTGTACTCTTCTGGTGGGGGCTATACCCACAGAAAGTTTGATGGGGAGGGGTAAGGCAAAAAATGGAGTCTCAAGGGGGTAGGATTATGCATGGGGGATGGGGAGGAAACTGGAGAGGTAGAATATGTCGAGAATTCCAAACATTATGCTATGACAGTGCGCACCACGCACCAAATGTATAATAAACTGGGCACTTACATTCGTAAGATAACTAGCCTGACATTCCAAAGGCTTCAATAATATTATTTTCGACACTTTTCATTCATAAGTTCCCTAGTTCACTCCACACAAAATCCCTATTTCAGCCTCAACTCCAACTATTATAACTCCCAAGTAACTAGCTTTCATCCTTCCTCAAAATAATAACAGTCATCCCCCAAACCCCTTATCATTTGGTGTCATAAACTGC